AATCTGAAATATGAAAATTGTTATAAGCATTATTGGATATCTAAGGAGTTTTACATTCATGACTCTATATAGAACTTACATATGGAGATTGTATTCGACATTAATAAGTTTAGATCTTGAAATAAAGTTAATCAAAAAGACAAACGCAACTAGATTCATTTTTGCGACGTTTCGAAATCCTCTGATGCCATTCTCAAGCAATTTTGAATTTATTACAACTGAAGAGCTATATATACACATGAAACAATAGCGAAAAACAATAAGATAAAATATACAAAGTATTGTTCTAAACAAATAGTTTCGAGCGCACGGAGTCTGATTGTACATTGAGTGTTGGCTTAAGTGATCTTATATAAAACATCTCATTTATTAAGCAATCAAACTTGATCGTGCATTTTTTAATCACAGTAAAACTGTCTGTGGGTGGAACAGTAGAAGTGAGCAACCTGAATCAGATGCATCAGATAACACCATTAGGATAGTTTTGCCTTTTATTGACCAAAAACCAGCCGACATAGTCAAACGCCAACTTACTCAGCTCAACAAAAAACTGGACTCTAATCTGGAAGCTATTTTCGTAAGTCGTAAGCTCAATGATATGCTTAAAATGCAAGAACCAAAGCCTCCACTTGTCAGCCAACAACTCGTTATTTACAAGTTTCAATGTGGTTTGTGTGATGCAAGCTATGTTGGCTACACAGCACGTCACTTACACCAGCGAATTGATGAGCACCGTTACTCAACGATTGGAAAACATCGCTTCCTAGAACACGGTCTTAAGACTGTTCCACCTACAGACAGTTTTACTATGATTAAAAAATGCACGAGCAAGTTTGATTGCTTAATAAATGAGATGTTTTATATAAGATCACTTAAGCCAACACTCAATGTACAATCAGACTCCGTGCGCGCGAAACTATTTGTTTAGAACAATACTTTGTATATTTTATCTTATTGTTTTTCGCTATTGTTTCATGTGTATATATAGCTCTTCAGTTGTAATAAATTCAAAATTGCTTGAGAATGGCATCAGAGGATGTCGAAACGTCGCAAAAATGTATTCGACATTGCTTTATTTAAAAAATAAATAAAATGTCAACCAAGGTTCAAGTCACACTTATAATATTGTTTAGGCTCCTCGCAGCTGTTTTTAGTGGCAGACTCCCTGTCCTAACCTGTTCCTCCCTCCCCCCCCCCCCCCCCGACACTAAGAACAGCTGTGAGGAGATTAGTTGACATTCCCTAGTCAGATTCTCTAGATGCAAATTTAGTATGAAGCATGATGGTCAAGAGTGCGAGARGAAGTAAGTACAGCTTTTCAGAGTTAATTAATTATTCAAGTCTTTATAATTCTTTATATTAATTAAAGTTAATTTGTGACATTATAAAGTAATTTTTATGTACAAACCTGCATTCCATTGACAATAGCTATTGGAACTTTCCTGTAAGATTGGGAAAACTTGATTTCATTTCGACTTAGAGGATTCACTTCAACAATACTGTATTCTATGCCGTAATAATCAAGAAAAGCTCTCACTTTGCAGCAAAACGGACAMGTCTGGTATTGATAYAAAACAACTGACGGCATTTTGCTGTCAGGTTTATGTATTCCAYTGTCTTCAACAGATATTATTGGGCTAGCATAGTTCTGTGTGTTCAAAGCATACAACGTCCCAATACTTAGMCCTCCAAACGTTCCCAGAAGCGCTGTCAAACGTCTACCGTTGGTCTGATTTCTTGATTCAGTGTATAAACGYCTGGATAATATTTTTGTACAATGATTTGGGTTTGGTTTCGCTAGAAAAGAGAGATTTTGTACACACGTGTGACGAACACGAAATAWCSCTCGAGCTGCCATTTTGGATGTTATGCAATMGGGACCTGGGTACGACTACGTCATTGTTCACTTCCCTATCGTAATTTTTGCCACTTTTGCGCTTGTTTAGACCTTTTCTTATATGAAAACATTGTTTTCTTTTAGTACCTGAATTATTATATTTACAATGAAGTATAAAAAGTAATTTCTTTTTAATATTTGCAAATTGTAATAATATCTAGGGTCATTTGAATTAAAATATGTTTTTGAGAAATCAATTTCCTATATAAACTTATAACATATTTTTAATGTGTAAAGTATTAAGAAAAGAAAATTGTATTTTGGTTAATTTTTCAATAACATCGGGTTACCTGTGTCATGTGGTTGCGGTTCCTCCCGTCATCCCACTCGGTCGTGTTTTAATGGCGGAGAAAAAAATTACATGAAATTCTTGCGGACTATTTCATCACTTTGTCAATTGAGATCGCCTTTGATTATAAATAGACTAACTACATTATCGAGCTRCTATTGCTCCACGACTAATCAAATAGACAACATGTCCGAAACGGCTACAAATGGTACATGCAATGRCGGCGAACAAGGRACAGAGCCGGTGCAGAAAACAGCSGCTCAGCTGAAAAAGGAAGCTAAAAAACAAGCAAAAATGGAGAAATTTGCCAAGAAACAGAATAAAATGGCTGCTGYTAACAAGGATTCTGCGTYGAACGAGGTAAATAATRGTGACTTTTGACAAAGATCGCYCAAACACCGGTCAAGATTTGGACACGTAAATTTTTACGCGATGAATGAGTCACATGTTTGCATTTTAATATTGATTGTTTTATCTAATAATTGTCTAATAATTATCTAATTGTCTGATTTTTCTACAGAATTATTTTTTTCTGTAGATTTTATGAAAAATATTCTATCAGTAATGTGCATTGAATAAATTAATAAAATTAATAATAAGTTACTAATAAATTAAGAATACATATCATTTCACAAATGTTCTATTTTGAATAAAGAAAAAAGAGAAAAAGAAAAAAGAATCATCCAAGAAAGTGTTTGTTTATGACAAGCCTACCGCACCAGGAGAAAAGAAAGGTCAGTGACATCAATATGCAATAATTGCATCAACTGTCATCTAAAAATAAGCTGATCTTGTGTAATGGTGTCTTAGATGTTAGTGGAGCAATGCCTGACAGCTACAGTCCAACTTATGTAGAGGCTGCTTGGTATTCTTGGTGGGAAAAACAAGGATTTTTTAAACCTGAATACAACGTAAGCTTTCCTATTCATTCCCAATCATTAATCCATTCATACTTTCATCCGTTCTTTCAATTATTAAATAGATTTAATGATTCATACATTTATTGATCTATTTATTTGTTTATTMATTCATTCATTTMTTATTTTTMYTTTATTCAAGCATCCAGACTTAAAACCTGGACCGGAAGGAATGTTTATGATGTGTATTCCACCACCAAACGTCACWGGCTCTCTTCACCTTGGCCATGCACTTACTAACGCWATTGAAGACTGTCTGACAAGATGGTAAGGCAACAAACTATCACAATGCTCATTGAGGCAATTTCACTAGTAATTTCCTCTTTGTCAACATGTTTTTAAAATTGTTAAGTCTGGCAACATTATCAGCTGTTAAACCTTCAAAATTCAATTATTGTYTTCTCGTTTGTTTGATAAATAAAAGGCATAGACAAAATGGCAAAATGACGCTGTGGAATCCTGGATGTGATCATGCAGGAATTGCAACTCAGGTATGTGCTGTAATATTTATTTTAATGTTATTTTATTCTGTGCTTTGTGATTTTTTATAATATTATTAACTGCTTRTGTTAGCTTCAATTGAATCCATATAGAAAAGCACTGGAATTCAAGATAGAAATAGCATTTAAAAATGTGTATAATGTTACAATATAATATTCTTTGCTGTAGGTTGTTGTAGAGAAAAAGCTGATGAGAGAAACTGGTCAATCTAGACATGATTTGGGAAGAGAAAAGTTCATACAGAAAGTCTGGGATTGGAAAAATGAGTAAGAAATAAAAAAGTTCTCTTAAAGATAGTTTTGTTAATGTATTGATGTTTGATCGTTTTTTGTTCTTTTTTCCTCCAGGAAAGGTGACACTATCTACAATCAACAAAAAACTATGGGTATTTCTGTGGACTGGGAAAGAGCRTGCTTCACTATGGAACCTGTAAGTTATAATAATTGACTAATAATTATTGTTGATTGAGTTAGGATGATCAAATTTTGATTATCAAGTTATAAATCACATTTGAACTGTTAAATCTGTCTTGGCTGTCAATTTATTGATGGAGTTTTCAATAAATTCTCAACATTTTCTCATTTGTAGAAACTTTCSAAAGCAGTRAATGAGGCATTTATTCGGCTTCATGACGAAGGTCTAATMTACAGAAGCAAACGCCTTGTTAACTGGTCATGTACTCTGAATTCTGCTATTTCTGATATTGAGGTGAGAATGGTAGAACTTATATATCTTTATTGTTTTATTGATTCTTGCATAAAAGACATGTTTAAATTGCTTTATAGGTTGATAAGAAAGAGTTGACRGGGCGYACAATGTTGAGTGTTCCTGGCTATGACCACAAAGTAGAGTTTGGAATCATTGTTCACTTTGCTTACCCAATAGAAAACTCAGGTAAATTTATCTGCGTTATCCTTATTACATGTATTGGTACAAAAAGTAACAATAACTTTAATGTTTACACATTTAACATACGCAATTTTGTCTAGATGAAAAGGTCATAGTTGCCACAACACGTATTGAAACAATGCTAGGAGATACAGCTGTTGCAGTTCATCCTGATGACAAACGGTACAAGGTAAGAAAACATACCAACATAGCACACTAAACWGTCATGTAAACAGTATGGCAGGAATGTTCCCATTACTTTGTTATCTGTCCAATAGTACATAGCTATAAAACAGTGCTTTATTGAGATATTCACAAAGTTGCTGTTAAAAATACAGCCTCCATTGTATAAAGCCCTGATTGAGCTCCTCCCTTTTATAATAAAAATTTTAGATTCCCATTTTTATTGAAGTGAATCTCTCCATTGTAGCATCTTCATGGCAAGTTTGCTGTTCATCCCTTCTGTAATCGTAAGCTGCCAATCGTCTGTGATGATATGGTTGATCCTGAGTTTGGAACAGGTTTGTTTTGCACCATTCTTATCCAAGACAAGTGCTTTATTTCGACATATTTTCTGTCTTTTATCTGTTAAGATTTTGTCTGAATTTGTTTGCCATTAAATGGTGACTTTAGGTACTATAATAGGAAAAAAAATACTTTACATGACTGCATTTTAAATAAAAGTATAGTGACTGTAGCTTCTCAGGAAGTCTGCTCCAAATGCATCTTTTTGCCTTAACTTTGTTCTTGGGTTCCATCTGGAAAGAGTGCAGGACTGGTGACAAAGCAAGGAAGCTATATCTTAGGAAAACATTTCCTCGTTTATCAAGGAATTGATATTTTTATAATTTGTTTTATGTAGGTGCTGTCAAGATTACACCAGCCCATGACCACAAYGATTATGCTGTTGGTCAGCGACATGACCTTTCATTTATTAACATGATRGATGACAATGGCTTAATATCAGACTTAAAAGATTTCCATCCAGAGTTCAAGAAATTTGCTGTTAGTAGATTCCACTGAAATGTAACTTCTTCACTTCCATTGAACTGTTAACCAATTCAAAAATAATAGGAACTGATGACTTATCAGTAGATATTAGCACCCTGGATTTAGAACGAGTAAAAAGCTTACAGACCAATTTTCATCTCAGAAACTGATTTTATCTCATTTCTAATCAACACTCTTTAGTATTAAATAATTTGCACTAGATATTTCAGATGTACTTGTCTGTACTCTATGAAACCTGTTGATAATAGTGTCATTTCATTGTCAAGGGCTTAAAGAGATTTAGYGCAAGAAGAGATATCCAGCATGCCCTGGAAGAGAAAGGTCTTTACATTAAAACAGAAGAAAACCCCATGGTGGTGCCGACATGCAGGTCAGTATATCATAATAGAACGATATAGAAATGAAAGAAAGTTATAGTGCTTAGAAGGAGGCAATTATATCAGTATATCATAGATGAAATGTGGTTTCAAAAACAACATACTCTTTTTCATATTTATCAAATTTGTTATGATATTCTTACTGGGCATTGAAAAAATTAGGTCTTTACCAGTGTTCTAGTGCAATTTATTTGATATTGGAAGTGGAGATAAGTCATTTTAAGGTTTAATTGGATAAATGAACATGCAAAATAAAATATTTTTTATCACTCTCAGTCGTTCTAAGGACATTGTGGAGCCTCTTATCAARCCCCAATGGTATGTTGACTGCAAAGACATGGCTGAGCAAGCCGTCAAGGTAATGAATATACTTATTGATATTGAAAAGATCCTTTGTTTTGTCATTATAATGTAGCGTTTTGTTTTGTATTCTCTTCAAGGTTGTACGAGGAGGAGAGTTAAAAATCACTYCAAACACACATGAGAAGACATGGTTTCACTGGCTTGAAAACTGCCGGTAAAAAGCTGTCATTTCATCACATTTAAGTGTTTTTGTTCCTATTTTTTCAAAATGTATCATAATTTTACAATTTATTTGTRATTATTCCAGGGATTGGTGTATATCTAGACAACTTTGGTGGGGACATCGAATTCCAGCATACTTTGCAAGCATAGATGACCCTAATATTCCTGCTGGAGAGGTAGTGAATTCTGCTGTGAAATATGGAATAGAAAATGGGAGTGAACAAATGGGATAAAGTGAAATGAAAATTTGTGAAAAAAGTGAAAAATACACCAATGAATGAACAAAAAATCATTCATATTTGATAAATGTTTATATCGTTTTTTAGGATACTGATGGCAAATACTGGGTGAGGTGAGTATTTTATTTAATGTTTGGGTTTTTAGAGCAAATATTTATACAGTATCCAAWTTTTTATATTCTAGTGGAAGAACTGAAGCAGAAGCAAGAACGAAAGCTGCAGGGAGGTTTGGTGTTTCTGAGGATAAAATCACCTTGAGACAGGGTACATAAGAATCCAAATATTATTTGAATTTTGTCATAAATATTCCATGACAATGGCAATGCATGTGTAAGGTTGTACAAGTAAAATAAGAAGCTGTTTTGGAGAGAAATCTGCTTTCTTATTTGAATCTTTGTCTTATTTCAGATGACGATGTGTTAGACACATGGTTCTCATCAGGTTTATTCCCATTCTCTATCTTTGGCTGGCCTGACCAGGTACATTCATCCAATGCATCCTCTCATTTCGTTTTTGACTTTGTCATTCAAAACTCAGAACTTCACTATAGTGCTTTCAAAACTTCTCCCTCCAAATCAATGAACTATAAATTAGTTAAAATGAGAGTTGAGGCCGTACACTACTGTCAAAAGTCAAATAAGTTTTAACCAAGTCAAAAGAATTTTTTTTTAGATTTGAAAAAGGAGTCTTCAAAGCAATTTCATGACAAAATTCAGTTCTGAATGATAGGAGTAGAACAATACCATTAAGAACAGTCTTCAACATTTTGAATGTCATATTTACAAAAATTGCAGTAATTTATGAACTTAATTCATTGTTTCCCCTCATTTTCTAACAGACCAAAGATTTAGAAGCATTTTACCCAGGAACTCTACTTGAAACAGGCCATGATATTCTGTTTTTCTGGGTTGCACGKATGGTTAAGATGGGTTTAAAGTTGACAGGAAAGTTGCCTTTCACTGAAGTCTATCTCCATGCCATGGTCAGAGATGCACACGGCAGAAAAATGAGCAAATCGTTAGGAAATGTTATCGACCCTGTGGATGTCATAAAGGGAATTACGCTAGAGGTGAGCTGATATTTTGGATAGTATAACAGTATTACTGTTGATATCACATATTGTTATACAGCTGTTTGCAATAATTCTGACCCCCTCTGCCATATTTCATATATATCAAACTGACCTTAAATATTATGGGATATCATGACTGATATATTTTTTGAGTTGCCCAGAATGAGTACTTTCTCAAAAAAATATCAGAATTGGTATCCCATAATTTCTAAGGCTACTTTAATATATATGAATATTAGTGTAGGGGGGTCAGAATTATTGCAAATAGCTGTACATGGAATGATATATATATATCTTTGAAACAGAATCTTCATAAATTGTTGGAAAATAGCAATTTGGATCCAAAGGAAATCACTCGTGCCAAGAAAGGCCAAGTAAGAAATCTTTCTTTCCTTTCTCATAATAATCGTGGTCATATTTAGAGCAKTTACTATTTCAGTCCTTTGAAACCATTCTATATTCTGTGCACTCTATGATACCTCTTTGTAGCCCTATATTGATTTGAGTTGWTYATATTTTTCTAGAAAGAGGACTACCCTGATGGGATCCCTGAGTGTGGAACAGATGCATTAAGATTTGCACTGTGCGCTTACACAGCACAAGGTGGGCTTCCTGTATTTTTTAACTAGATCCCCTAATATGGTCAATGACTGTTTTCATAAAATAGTACCTTTGTAATGTCTCTTTTTCAGGTCGTGATATCAACTTGGATGTCCTTCGTGTCCAGGGCTAYAGACACTTTTGCAACAAGYTGTGGAATGCAACCAAATTTGCTCTYGCTGGTCTTGGAGATGACTTTAAACCMAACCCTCAACAGGAGGTATTCAAAAGTGAATTTTTGAGAGTTAGTTCCTTGACTATACTTCTTTCTCTGTCGTTTTCAGATGGTTGGTAATGAGAGTCTAATGGATAGATGGATTCTCAGTCGCTTGTCCAGTGCAGAGCAGTCAAGCAATGAAGGRTTTTCCAATTACGATTTCCCTACTGCCACAACAGCAATTTATAACTTCTGGCTGTATGAGTTRTGTGACGTCTACTTGGTAAGTAACACAATCAACATTACTTACTTGGGTCACATGGTTTTTAGGGATGTTGAGTAAGGGGTTTCTATTTCTTTCTATAAGGAATCTCTCAAGCCAGTTCTGCAAGGAGGTGATCAAGAGAAGATTAAAACTGCAAGAAATACACTGTATCCTTGACTAGAATMATTGTCAAGTTGAATATGTCTGTAAGCTTCCCTTTAGTAGTTCCCTCAGTGTCTTTAAATGTACTGTCATTTTCCATCAAAGAAAATATGAAAACGACTGGCGAAGGTGCCACAATAGGTTGTTCTCTCTAGGTGCAAAAGGAGGTTTCTATCATTACATACTTGCTTGCTTAGATTTGATGTAAAAGTAAAGATAAATTTCTAGATGGCGCACAGGGGACTACAATACTCAAGATATTTTTGACTTACTCTATGAGCGCTCTTACTGCATTTGTAGTCTTTAACCAAAATATAGCTTCACGTGCCTTGAGAACGGTCTGCTACTCCTCAGTCCATTCATGCCATTCCTTACCGAGGAACTCTACCAGAGACTTCCAAAACGTCACGCTGGTGGTCCTCCAAGTATTTGCGTGACGCCATATCCCAAAAATGTAAGTCACGCAACAGCTGCAATGTGACTCTTTGTCACACATTTTATGATTTGAAAAACGCTATTTGAGTTTCCATCTTGGGTCACAGCTTCTATAGCTTCTATAGCTTGACACGATGTCACACAATAAATTACTTGTATGTTTTCTGAGCGGTAATTTCTTGAATCTTTATAGCTCCCGTGGCGTGACACCGAACTTGAGGGCAACGTGGACTTTGCAATGAGCATTGTCAAGACAATTCGCTCCATTAGACAGGAATACCAAGGCATCAAAGGCAAACCAGAAGGTATGTTCACGTGACTAACACGTAATGATGTATATATCACGTGRCCACTGATCACGTGTGTTTGTTTTCAGTCTACGCCGTGTTTTCTGATGATTCTCTTGCCAATGGTGTCAAGATTTTTACAGATGATATTGTGGCTTTGAGTTCGGCCAGCAGGTATTTATGTCGCTATAAGGTCATTATGTAGAGCTCTTAGCAGCGCAAAGCAGCTTGGGATAGATGACACTCCCCCTTATTACTCATTCAGCGCTTTAGCCATGATTGTCTTCTTGCCTTGTCAATTCTATGCATCCAAAAGGGACAAATATCATCTTGCATTTTTGAAGCCTTGTACCCGGGTAACGGATGAGCGTCCCCTTTTTCTTGGCCTCTCGTGACGTCATAGAGTGGCGCTCACCCGTTCCAGGATCCGCCCTTGCAAGAAACGCCTAGAATCCTTCCATTTCTGATATTTGATTCCCTTCATTTAGGTTGGAAATCCTTTGYCATGAGCGCCCTCCTGTTGGTTGTGCTATAGGTACTGTACAAGACAAGTGTGAAATCCACCTATTGCTCAAGGTACAACTACCACAATCTTTGTTTTTAGGATTCCTTCAGATTTCAAAGTGCACAAATAGTGTGAACAAAT